GTTAGACATGCCACCCCATACGGCCAATAACCCAAAAAAATATCGCCCATATGTGTTTTATCGTGTTAAATATTCTTTTATTCAATTGTAATTGTTAAATAGCATTTTCTCGTTGCAAAATTGTCAAATCGTTGTTGAAAAAATATCAAAGAAAATTACTCCCACGTTATTTTTTATTATAAATGGAATTCGGTTATCTGCGTTTTCTGTGCCTCACAATTCCATGGGTGAATAAATCGGTGTTTCTGTATCATATTCTATAAACAAACTAAATCAAAATCTTCATAATTCGTGGAAAATAAGCAGTTACCATTAATTAGATACCACTATTCCTGATTCCCTAAATAAAATCTAAAAAGCAGTTGACACAGTACAAAAAAAAGAAAGATAAATAAATAAAATAAAATTTTGGCTGACTAGAGCTCAGAACCTCTATCATTTCGGAAATACATATAACGTACGCATTATTACTGCGTCACGGTAAATCAGTAAAAAAAAAAGAAGAAAAAAGAAGGGGAAAAAAAAGGACAAAAGAAGAAACAGCAGAAATAGCCACTTATAATTAATTATAAGAATTTCAAAACTAATTTAAATCAGGCTTATGTGTCAGAATTTGATGTAACAAAAATATTACAATAAAAAAAATTCGATATTTTTGAAAAATTATTTTTATGAGGATTAATTAATAATTATAAAGTTTAGAAAAAAGAACTTTCTTCACTTCATACTAGTTCACAAAATGATGGCAATTTTAAAATTCAATAATTACTCTTATTGTATAGCAATAAAATAATATACAACTAATACTTTTTCAACTAGTTATACTTAATATAGTGTATTAAACTGAAATACTTTATCACTTTTGTTAATATTTTAAATGTTTCAAAATATAATTCCCACGAGAAACAACTGCTAATTAATACATTATTTATAACAGTATTATTACATATTATATTTACATTCAGGTGGAATGGCCCGTACCGAATCGGGCGTTATGTTTGTATAAAAGTTAAAAAGGTACTTTTTTTCCGTATTTTTTCCTGTCCTTTTTCTTCGGTGCATTTTGTCCGTGAATTTCAGCGTCACGATCCCGAATTTTTTTTTTTTTTCTCGGTTGTCACACATTTTTTTTTACCCAACAACTATGAAATCATTTATTCAAAGTAAATAGCATATTCAGATGCAGTGCTTCAAATCCTATAAATTAGGTTTAGGCAAAGCCTATAAATGAAGATTTTTTTACAGTTTGCTGCCATTTAAAAGGAATACCAAGTGGATTATGCGACTACACATAATTAAGAGCCAACTGTAATTTATTTAAAATATTGGGAGTATTCATGTAGGCTTATTATTTTTATCTGCTAAAGTGATAAGTGTAAAGTACAAAATTTCTATGAATAGACGATAAGTATAAAAACAAAATTGTTATCACATTACCTTCAATAACTGTAAATTGATAAGATTTTTGCAACGACAGTTATAACTCCTCGGTAGTATAGTGGTCAGTATCCCCGCCTGTCACGCGGGAGACCGGGGTTCGATTCCCCGCCGGGGAGGAGCATCATTTTTTCTGACTCGTATACAATTTTTTTTTACTCGTATTCAATTTTTGATGTTCAATTTTCGCTTTTCAAACATAATTCAATAATTAACTTATTTTATTTTATATATTGTTTCTTCGCACATAAAGATGGTGTTAAGAGAAATAATTAACCACTTTTTACAGTATCAAAGTTTTAGAAACATAATTAACTTATTTTATCTTATATATTGTTTTTTTTTTATTGGTTCAAAATCTNTTAAAATTCAATAATTACTCTTATTGTATAGCAATAAAATAATATACAACTAATACTTTTTCAACTAGTTATACTTAATATAGTGTATTAAACTGAAATACTTTATCACTTTTGTTAATATTTTAAATGTTTCAAAATATAATTTCCCGAGAAACAACTGCTAATTGATATATTATTTATAACAGTATTATTACATATTATATTTGCATTCAGGTGGAATGGCCCGTACCGAATCGGACGTTATGTTTGTATAATAGATAAATAGATAGATAGATAGAATAGATAAAGAGATTCTTTTTTTCGGTATCTTTTCCTGTGCTTTTTTTCCGGTGCATTTTGTCCGTGAATTTCCGGGTCACGAGCCCGCAATTTTTTTCCCCGGTTGCCGCAATTTTTTTTCCGGTTTACGCAACAACTATGAAATCATTCATTCAAAGTAAATAGCATACTCAAATGCAGTGCGTCAAAAGCTATAAATTAGGTTTTGATTAAAATTAAGTTTTTTTATAGTGAGTGCCATTTATTTATTTACAATATTGGGAGTTGCAATTCTTGTAGGCTTATTATTTTTATCTGCTAAAGTGATAAGTGTGATGTACAAAATTTCAATGAATGGATGATAAGTATAAAAGCAAAATTGTTATCTCATTACCTTCAATAATCGTAAATTGATAAGATTTTTGCAACGGCAGTAATAACTCCTCGGTAGTATAGTGGTCAGTATCCCCGCCTGTCACGCGGGAGACCGGGGTTCGATTCCCCGCCGGGGAGGAGCAACATTTTTTCTGACTCGTATTCAATTTTCGTTTTTCAGACATAATTCAATAATTAACTTATTTTATTTATATATTAGTTCAAAATCTATTATATTTTCAAAAAATTAACGTTATCGCACATATAGATGGTGTTAAGAGAAATAATTAACTACTTCTTATAGTATCAAAATCTTAGAAACATAATTAACTTATTTTATCTTATATATTGTTTTTCTTTATTGGTTCAAAATCTATATTTTCAAAAAATTAACGTTATCGCACATATAGATGGTGTTAAAAGAAATAATTAACCACTTTTTATAGTATTAAAGTTTTAGAAACATGATTAAAAATATTTCTTTGCATTACAAAAATATAGTTCAATGGTACGAATCGAATTTTTTTTTCTACCTTTTTGTTTAAGGCTGATTTCCGGAAGCTTTGTTGTGACACAAAAGCGAATAATATGCTGTTTTTATGACTGTTGTAACTTTGGAATAATTCAAATTCCCAAACATCTAGTTTAAGGCACCCAGCTTGTGTGCCTTGAACTCAAAACAACAAACCTATAATTTTAAACTAAATCTAATATCTTTTCGAAAAGAAATATATGGCAAATAACTTAAATATTACTTTATTCATTTTTTTAAAAAGAAAATAAACTATTTTTTTTACATAAAAATTAACAATTTAGAGAGATTCTTCTAAGATAAAATTAATTAAAATAAATAAATAATTCTAATTTTTTGCATATTTTTGTGAACTTAAACAGTGAAGCGTTGGATTAAATTTCGAAGTATTAAAGCAAATAAAAATTATGATCACACATATTTTTCATTTGCACGAAATTGTAAATTTTTTTCCATGACTCCATTTTGAACCATTTTCATTATTAACAACTTCGTTAGTTATGAACCGGATTCGGCAAGATGCAAAGTTAACATTAGAATAGCAACGAAAATCTGTTACTAACTCACAATGGCTATAAATGGCTTATTATTTGCTAAAAGTCTTATTTCACTAGACGGTACACGATAGTTTTTTTTAAAAAAAACTTGTATTTTAATTGTTTCATTTTAATTTTGAAAACGGCGAAGAGCATCAAAATGGTGAGAAGCCACAGCCTTTTGTAAATTTGATTTTTAAACTTTTTTTCTAATGTTTTAAAATTTACTCCACTGTTGGGCTAATAAAAATTCAGAATTATTAATTGGTTTTAATCCAAGAAGAAAAAGTTGACCAAATTGTCAATTTTTTTAAAAATAATGTAATAACTTTTAAAATAATAGCTAATTGTCCGTCCTAATTCCCAGATAATTCTTTACGGCAAAATGAAATACATAGTTTAAAATTATAGCTTTGCCCAGAGAGTAAGATATTTAAAGTGTGACTTTTTTCATACGAAAAAAGGAAGAAAAAAATTGTAAAGTTCTTAAAAATAAAACAAGTTTACGTGAACCACTCTACATATACTATTTTGCCGTATGGAATTATCTATGCTTTTGAAAAAAATAAGCAATTTAAATGTATTATAAATATTAAAATATCAAATTTTTTTTTAAAAAAATCACTAATTTGGTAAATTTTTCAACCTATATAAAAATTATTAAAATCAATAAACAACTCCCCTAAAAAAAATAATAAAACTGAATGAGCTCAGCTTATGGAGAGTTCGAGTAACATTTCAAACATCAAAAATTAGCATTAAACTGTGTTGTCATTTACATGCATATTTATTTATTCACTTTCAATATTTGTTCTCTAGCACACTTAGGATTTTTATAAAATTAAATTTATCTCAATCAAAGTTTTTTGTGACCTTATTTAACAGTTGAAGTAACACCAAATTGGGTAAAAAGGCGAAGGGCGATATGGGAAAAAAGATTTATTGAAAAATTCTTTTAATTCCAAAACACGTTATTAATTCCGAATCAGTATTTAAGAAGAGAAGTTTGGAATAGTAAGAAATTTATAATAGTAACTGGTTTGTAACTTTAATACCACTATTAAAAATTTTAATCTAGTGTCAGATACAGTATTGCTGTATTTTTAAGTTCTTAATATTCTTAAGTTCTTAAGTATAACTTTTATTCAAACGTTAATTCATGTTTATGATACTCTTCTCTATTCCTATCTATTTGAATGCTTCATTTTTAAAATTCGTTTTCAGCTATGCACCAGCACCACATTTGTTCCTATTGATGAGTTTTAGAACAAAATTATTTTAATACAGTTTTTGTTTCGTGTATCATCCATAGTACCATTTACAAAATTTGAGGCCATTTCAACTGTTAGATTGTTCTAAAGGTGCTTCCGAGTAATCTCAGTTTAACAACAAATTCTATACACATTTTTTGAAACTTACACATTTTTAATTCTTGAACAAATACTATCTACAACACCTGATGGCTTTATATTATATACAATGATTATATTTGGTCAAGAAAACTGTCTGGAATCTTTTTAATGTTTTATGGAAAACAAACTTAGTTTAGATTCTTCAAACTCTTCAACGAAATGCTAGAATGGCTTACTTTTGAGTACAACTTATATGTCAAAAGTAAATAAAAACATTTTTAACAGCTTCTTAAAAGTTAGGTAAAGTTCTTATAGATTAAAGCTGCCTTATGACTTACATAACTCATAGGGTTTAAAAATTGTCTATCGTCCAAGCGACGTTGTGTTTTTTTATGAATGGAAACAATCCCTCTATCGATTTTACTGTTTTGATGGAGTTTGTTCTATTGAAGGAGAACGTTCTTTTTGTACCAAAGCCAAATTTGGTGACTCTCGGGAAGAGTTTTCTGGAATTACTTGTTTCAGACTATTTGTATGATTGGTATTTGGCGATGAAATCGTGTGGTGGGGTGATTGGTACAATGAATTTTGGTTAAGAACCGGTGGCTGATACAAAGTTAAATTTGTTGCCGAATCATAAAGCATGTTTTGTCTGCTGTTGCTGTAGCCATATGACAAATCATATAGGTATTGCTGAAGTTTCATACGGAACAGGAGTTTTTGTTGTGGAGCCAATCTTTTCACATGGGGCAACAAAGAATTGAAAAATCCCACATCTTCATCAAAACTTCCTATGCAAGGCGATTCCTTGTGACGCTTCTTCCTTGGATGAAATTTAGAGGACATCTTCCGCTTGTGATGTCCAGCTGGAGAGGACATTCCATAGGTGTCCAGGGACAGAGCAGGACTAGGACTTGGTGATGGAGAGGAGTCTATACTGGATCCTGCCGGAGATGGTGTTGGAATGTCCATCCCTTCAGCCACATCTGTATTGTCCACTCGACTTCTTGAATCTAAATCGAAGTCGTCGTTGTCTTCGATTTTGATTGGCAGCAAATCATCACTTGGCCTTTTATTTGAGAACTGGTCTCTCAGGAACATTAGTTGCTGAAAGAATGGCCATTCAGAATGGAGTGATTCCAAAGTACAGTCGGCTTTTAAGGCTTTCGTCATCTGTTTCCCGAATTCTTGTCTCAAGTTCTTCCATGTTTTTCTAGCTCGAGAATCTAGGGGAAAAATATTCAACATTAATATAGCCTCAATGGTATACTTTTCATATATTAAAGATGAATTAATTTGATGATTAATTAAATAATAGAAGCTTATATCTATAGTAAAATAAATCTGCTATGTACTACATCAAAAAAAGCAATAGGTTTTCGAGAACACTATGCGACAAAACTGGCAACAACTGGATGACAGGTATTGAGCGTTGCTGTAGAGAAATTTTTCTTACAAATTCTTGTTCTTTGAAAATTTTCACTTTCTTCTTCATTGTTTTTAATTTTATATTATAACCATCATTGGACAACCAACCGAATTTTTGGTTTGCGACTACCAATGTTCAACTCCGTAGCCTTGTAATTTTGAACTCCAGAAGACAAGGGAATTTCTTGATGAAGTATAGGGAGAAATGTGCCTTCGTGGTGAACTTTTTGATGGAACAAACCCGCATTTGCTTTACACGGAGAGAAAAGCCACGAAAACCTCCCACGGTTAGTCTGACAGAAAGGGGACTCTAACCCGTGCGAGTCGGGTGCGGAATTTGTATCGACCTGTCATCGCGGGGATTCGAGCCCGGTTCTCCTCTTGGGAAGGCGAAAGCTCTGTCCCCTGGGAAACCACGACTCTTTCTTGTTCATTAAATCAGTTAAAAGAAGTACCATGAAATTTAAATAAATCAAAACAGTTGTGACAGCGAAAATAATCACGAATTTTCTTCACCTGCCTGTTTAGATTAGAGGTAAAATATGCTTCTGATCTGACATATATATATACAAAGAAACTTTATTATTAAGCTGTTTAAGACTATCTATCGATATATCTTCCAACACTCTTTGCATAATTGTATGCGAAGCGTATGAAATTCCACAATTTTTTCAATCTTTACTATGAAATTAAATTAATAAATAACACACGGATAGAACAAATTTTGCTTATGGTCATTAGATAATAATTTTAATTACACTAATTACATCTTTTTTTCTTTTTTTTTTCCTTCGAAGAAAAAAAATTAGCTATTGATTTTGATCATAGAACATACTATTATGCATAATTGTTTTTTTTCTTCTTTGAAATTCACGCCAAAAAAAAGGGAAGGGAAAACGTTAATACATGTATGAAAGAGAAAGTAATATTCGGAATTTTTTTCTAGAAGCATTTTATTTTGTTTTTAAACTTAAAAAGAAATTTTTTTTTCTTTGTCTGGACGAAAAATTTATTTTTTATTAGCTAAACTATTTTAATTTTGAATCCTCGAAACTAAAAAAATTCTTCAAAATATTCCAAAAGCAAAATAATCTAAAATAATCTATTTATTGTAAAGCTTCAATATTTTGTAGAAAATGAAAACGTAAAGTATCGCATAATTTTTTCAAAATTTCTTCAATTCTTATCAAGATGTTTATTTTTGCCATAATTCAATGATTTTGCCTTGATTGAATAATGAGTGAAATAAATTAAAACGGTTAATCTTTAGTGAAAAAATGCTAAAAGTTTATTTATAAAAATAGCTTTATTTAATTTCATAATAAAATTTTGGAAGAACTAATTTAAATGTAATAATTTTTTATTCGAAATGCGTATAATTTTTTTTTAAATAGAATTCATTAATTTCAAAACCATTACTTTTAAAATACATTTCAAAGATCGATTTTTTAATTAGGAGAATCGAACAAAGAGTCCTTGTACGAGAACTCTAACAATAAAATATAAATAAATTATGCATCGATAATTCAAAAAAAAAAAAAAANCAAAAAAAAAAAAAAACAATTAGAAATTGTATTTAATTAAAATTATGCATTTTGTATACATTTGCTATTAGCGTTCAGATAACTTTTCGAAACAATCACCGTAAATGTCTTCCTTAATATCATTATAAAAGGAGCAAAAGTAGTTCATGTACTATGGACGTTCTTCATAAGATGATTCGGGAAAAAAAAATGCATTTTTTTTTCTTTTTTTAAAATACCTCAAATATGCTAATAATAAATTTCACCTCAAATATTTTAATTAATTAGAACAGACAATATTTAAAGTTACGAAATCAGACACAAAAACTGACTTCCTTTAAATAAATGTACCTTTTTTTCGACGAATTCTGATTTTTTAATCTCAAAATAGCCGCTGACTGGGAAATATGGTCCCCATAGTTTGTTCAGGAGAGTAATCCAAAGTTTGGACTTCTTAATGTTAATTTTATTTTTTGCATATTTCACCATATCTCGAGAACTTTTTAAGGGAATTTAAACATTTTCGCACACAATTATAAAATTCATTTATCCAAAGATAATTCCTTGCAAAAAATAAATTTCAGTAAATATTTATTTATTTTTTTTAATTATTTTATTTATAAATAGTAAAAAAATATTTAACTTGTAAGCTATAAAATTTTTTACCGAATTCTAAAGTATGTAATTTTTCATGTCGAAATACAAAATTTGGGCGAAATCGGCTGAATAGATCCTGAGAAATCAAATTTGAAAAAGTCGTAAATTTTAAATTCAATTTAGTAGTAGTATTAAGAGAGCAATTTAAATTTTCGCTGCTTTGCAAAAGCATTAGTATTATTACTGTTTTTTTTTTTTTTAATCTTCTTAGGCTAAAATAGTTAATATTATTTTAGGCAATCAAGTTTTTATCTCGAAGAATTGTAAGATTTATTTTATTTTACTGACTGATTGAATGATAAACTCAAATACTGCATTAAACAGCTTTGAGAAAAACCCCTTTTAAAAAAAAAAATCGTAATAATATCTGGAATTTGTTGGGTATTGGTTTCGTTTTGTATTTTTTTAATATGGTAAAATTACCAAATTGTACAGATCTCATCATACAAAAATCTTTTTGCTACTGCATAATGAAGTAAAATGCATAAATAATTTTTTTAAAAATGATTTCGTTATTATAAAAAGTATTTCTATCTCACCACTGTTGTTGTTCTTCTCTTATAAGATGGCAAGAAAGTATTTATTTCTTTTTTCACGTTGGCGTCAAAAAACTAAAATATCAAGTGATTGAGAAGTCATAACTATGAACGAAAAGGCATTTTTACAAATTCCTGAATGAAAATTCGTTTCTTTGAAATTCTCACGTGAACAACGAAAAAAAAACAGTACTTTATACTAACAGTAACTGTGTACTAAGAGTACGAAAATAACAGTAATTATCAATTGACGCAAGTTCAATAATAGTTTAAAGCTATATTTAATCTAATTACCTTGGCAGAGTGTCAGCAATGCTTTATTTTTTTTCTTCTTATCTCTTCTTTTGGTTTTTATTTATGTTGTGAATTAAGTACAAACCACATTAGAATAACTGTGTTATGAGTAAAGCCCGGAATTTCAGGCAATAAAAAATGCAAAAATAGGCAGGCAAAAAGGCATTTAAAAAGCTTGAAATAGGCACTTAAAAAAGGCACTTAAAAGTGGAGCAAAATGGTAGTTGGTAATGCCTAAAAGCNATTAATTATTTAAAAAATTAATTAATTTAAATATTAAGTATAATTTATAGGATATATACTTTCTTTATAATGCCATTACATATTTCTATTAATATAAAAAGTTTCAGAGCTTTTTATTCACTTTACTTTTTTGGGATTTTATGAACTGAAAAATGACAGTTTTCGTGAGAATGACCCATATACAAAAAAAAAAAAAACTTTATTATTAAATTTTGTTAAGGCTATATATCGATATATTTTCCAACACCCTCTACTAAATAGTATACAAAGCGTATGGAATTCCACAATTTTTTAAATTTTTACTATGAAATGAAATTAATAAATAACACACTGGTTGAACAAATTTTGTTTATGGTCATTAGATAATAATTACAATTACAATAATTAAATCTTTTCTTTTTTTTCTTTAGAAGAAAAAATTAGTGATAGAATTTGATCATAGAACGTACTATTATGTATTATTGTTTTTTTTTTTTGAAATTCACGCCAAAAAAAGGGAAGGGAAAACGTTAATACATGTATGAAAGAGAAAGTAATATTCGGAATTTTCTTTATAGAAGCATTTTATTTTGTTTTTAAACTTTAAAAAATTTTTTTTTCCTTATCTGGACAAAAAAAAATTTTTTATTGAGCTAAACTAATTTAATTTTGAATCCTCAAAACTAAAAAAATTCTTCAAAATATTCTAAAAGCAAAATAATCTAAAATATTCTATTTATGTTTTGTAAAGATAAAAATATGAAGAAAAAAAATGAAAACTTAAAATATTGCATAATTTTTTTCAAAATTTCTTCAATTCTAATCAAGATGTTTATTTTGCCAGGATTCAATGATTTTGCCTTGATTGAATGTAAAGCGAAATAAATTAAAACGATTAGTCTTTGGTGGAAAAATGCTAAACATTTATTTATAAAAATAGTTTTATTTAAATTCATAATAAAATTTTGGAAGAATTAATTTAAATGTAAAAATTTTTTATTCGAAACGCGCATTAGTTTTTTCAAATATAGTATTCGTTAAATTCGAAAACTAATACTTTTAAAATAAATTTCAAAGACCGACTGTTTCAATTAGGAGAATCAAACAAAGAATTTCTTGTACGAGAACTCTAACAATAAAATATAAATAAATTATTGATCTAAAATTAAAAAAAAAAATGTTAAACATTGTATTTTAATAAAATTATGCATTTTGTATGCATTTGCTATTAGCGTTCTGAAAACTATTCTAAATTAATCGAAATAATTACCGTAAATGTGTTTTCTTCCTTAATATCATTATAAAAGGAGTAAAAGTAGTTCATGCACTATTCACGTTCTTCCTAAGATGATTCGAAAAAAAAATGTTTTTTATTTTTTTAAATACTTCAAATATGCTACTAATAAATTAGAGCAGAATTTAAAGTTACGAAATCAGACACAAAAACTGACCTTCTTTGAATAATTATACATTTTTTAGAATAAATATACCTTTTGCATGTAAAAAGAGTTTCAGCATGCATGCAAACATTGATTAAAAATATCTAATTAACGAATGAAGCGATTTCGAAGTAATCCTAAAGGATCTACGAAAGCAATTCTAAGTAGTGGCGAGCGCAGCGAGCAGGTCCTCTGGTTTTTCATAATAGGTATAATACTTATGTATTTTCTTCATTCCCCCCCTCCTTTTTGTGCACTTTAAATCATTTCACAAACGTTTATCTGCAGTGTAAACACAAAAACCTGTTTCCGTTTCAACCAAAGCTACTACTATACATTTAAATTTAGAAAATAAATAAATTAAAAGTTCAAAAATATTAGAAGATTATTTTTAATATACATGTCGAATAAAGTTTTCAATCAAAGAATCACTTGATTCATTATCTTGTTGCTCATTTACTTTAAATATATGTTATAATACAAATTATTTGGTGAGAACTTAAAAATCAAAAACTTAAGTCAAAACGTATCTTTCAATGAATGTGGCCACTAGATTTTAAGATGGATAGAAGTTAATTTAAATTCAAAACAAATTACTCATTCTATTGTTTTTTTAAGTATGTTTTCAAGCCAGAAAATAAAATCCTGCTACCTTCTATTCCTTCTTTTTTGAAAAAAAAAAGAAAAGAAAAATGGTTGAAAAAAATTTTATACTCTATTTTTTATCACGTTTTGTCATAATTAGTATGAAATTCATCTATATAAGGTACTAAAACATCGATATTTAAAAATTGTTTAAATCGTTTCAATATATATACCTTAATATTCTCATCCTCTTTTTGGCTTCAAGTTATGCATAAATTAACATTTTTGATTTCTCCCCTTCATTAAACCACTATAATTCTCTCAACTTTTTGGCAGATTAATTATAATTATTAATGTTTCCCTTTCTCCCTGAAACAATAGTGGGGAAAACTTACGCTACTTTCCCTAAGATTAAAACTCAAGCACACATTTAAAGGAGCGCGATTTGGGCTCCGCTAACAGTTGAAAATGATTTAAATAGACTATGTGAAGCTCTGTCATCTCTTTTATCTTCTTAAGCTTTGTTACCTTCTTAAGCTTAAATATGAAGTTCTAAAACTTAATATAAGTTCACATTTTTATTAAAGTCTCGAACTATCGATTATTATATACAATAGAAAAGTAAAAAGTGTAAAAAATTCTCTTATCTGTAAAAACTCTTTTTTCAGGTTCGTTTTTTCCCCCAATTCCTCTCTCTCATTTTTTTTTTAAATAATTCCCTTTTCCGAGATTCAAGACATAAAACTGGATGAAAAACGGCATATTATGCAAAATTTCCGATTTTTTTTTACGTTCATATTTCTATATTGTTTATATTTTTTGTTCTCTATCATAAAAATCAAAGCTGCAGTTTTTTTTTTAAATCACTTTACGCGAATACACAATACATAAAAATATTATGATAGATATCTTTGAAACATCGTATGTAGCTTTTGTATACTCTGTTAGCTATGTTTTGAACTAAAAGCTGGGATCTACGTCTGAGTTAATTATTTTTATGATGCTGTAAATATATACGTTTAAAATTTTTCTTTTAAAAAATCAATATTAAGCAATATTTTATTTTATATTTGAAACTTTTAAATAATTCAAGTCAAAGCGCAGGTAACCGCATAAGATCAGAAAAAAATATTATTGATATTTATGCATTGCAGTTTGCCGTTAAGCTATTAGCGTGGCATGAATTGTTTTTAATTTTTATGCTCAAATTTGCCCTCATTTAAAAATAAAAAAAAATTATAACTTTTTAAAGTTTCTTCAGATTTATAATTTTAGAACACCTGTTTACTAAAAGAAAAATTTAAATCTTAATTAAGATTGTTTTTAAAAAACTGCATCGAAACCAGTCTAATATCTCAAAAAGTTTCGGAATATTTCTTTTTTTTTTTTCTTTTATAAAATACTGTTTGTTTGTTTTTCTTTACAATTTTAATTAATTCCTGCTATTGTTAATAAATTCTGTAAAAACTCTTCTCGATCATTTTTTTCAAAATTTTAACAAGCATAATTAATTTATTTTTCAGAATAAATAAATAGCAAAATCACTTAACAACTCAATCCCAAAAAGAAAGTTTCATTTTTCCCAGTTGCTTTTTTTCAGTTATATTTCGGTTTTACTTTATACTCGATAGAGAGGTCCTTTCCAATCGAGAAATAATTATTTTGATTATTCTGACAGAAATAATTATTTTCAAATACATTGATTCCATTTATTTCAAGATTATCATTCATTTAACGATTTTTATTCATTTAGAGATTTACACGATTCTAAATGCATGGAAGCTTTAAATGCATACATCAAAATGAAACTCTAAGAGCAAACAAATCAGATTTCAGCTCTAATTCTTAGCATTAACTACTGATTTAAAATGATAAATTTATATTTTGAATCTCTAAAAATAATCAATAAAATAATTACGCACTGTTCATTTAAATTGAAATGAGATGCGACAGATAAAAATAAAAAGTTTAATTTTACTTAGAAATAACTTTTAAAAAATAAAGATATTAAATTAAACCTTTTATTTCTTATTGTTAGAAATATTCGCGGAAGGAATTTGAAATTAAATTTTAAACATAAATTTAATTTAAAATACAGAAATTAATTTTGCGTTTGCTTATCTTTATTTTACATTAATAACTTAAATAATTAATAACTTAATATTACTGAATATTTAATAATTAAAACTTATTTATAATGTAAAATTGTACATCTATTTTGATTATGGGTTATATGTAATATCTCAATAACTTAATCGAAATTATTATAATACTAATTATTAATTAATAAATTGAAGTTTAGTTTATAATTGAAATGAACTTCATTAATCAAAGTTTGTTAATAAAATAAATTGCTTACGTATTGCTTGAGTATACGTATTCTATAAGGTAATTAATTAAAGCTTATTGAAAGAATTTCTATTATATATTAATTCAATTATTAATATATAATATTAATCTAATATTATTATATATTATTTAATTGAATAGCTTTTTTTAATTATGAGTTTCCGTAATTTTTTTTCAGACTTACTACATTTATATCTATTATTATATATTAATAATTACCTGTTATACCCACGTCTTGAGATATTTTCTTCCATTGCTTCTCCAAATGGTACCTATTATGGTGATTTCTATGTCCTTTATCCCATATAGCGGGTACCTTTTTCACTTCTTCGATTAAGATCTCCTTAACTTTTTCTACTGATCCCATATTGACGAGAACTTTAAATCACAGTTTGAAAAATGCGGCACGCTGTCACAAAATGGCGCAGTTCTTTAGCTACAAGAAAACCCCACGCCGGCTATTCTGAAGGAAAGGTCACAGTTGCCAGATATCGATGGAAACCTCTACCGCGATCTGCACTTCGACCTGTATGGATAGGTGGCGCTCCTGTAACTTCGATCGATACTGGCCGCGTCATCTACCGCGGTCTTCGGTATATAATATTATTCGCTAACATAGTTCCGTTCATTCTAAAATGTTGGGTTTCCATTTTCGTTTCCAAGCCTATTCGAGCTCGTAAAAGGATGGAGGAGGAAAAAAGGATAGAGAAAATGAACTAATAAAAAAAGGAGCTGTAGGGGGAAATGGAAGACAGGGGACTTAATGTTGGATATCGTTTTATTAGAAAGTCGTCTGAAATTTGAAATGATTTGTTTATTCGCAGACAAATAATTCTTTACATGGAATCAAAGAACTTATGATCTAGATTTATCGTATGGAATTATTAGTCGAATTATTAGCAAATAAATAAATAGAAAACATTTTTATTTATTGAATTGTAGAGTTAAAAAAATCTAATTTTAAAGCTTTATTTTAAATTATTGATGACGTATTAAAATATTTTTGAAAGAATCTAGTAAATACTAGTAAGAATCTGAAATGACAAGAAGAATTTTAATATTGTGAAACTTGTGAAACTGCGTGACTTAATAATTTAATAATTGCGTGAATGAATAATTTTTGTCGTCTCCCTCCTTAATGTTTTCTGATGTTTAATTTTAAAAATAATAAACAGGGTTATTAAAATTTGAATAAGTATATAATGAAAACGAGGTTTTGACTATATTTTGTAGTTATATCCAAGATATTTTTAAAGTTAAATTTCATGAATCAAAGAGCAATTAATTACCGTTAACTGACCACGTACCATCGATTAAGCGAGTTAACTCCTATAACCGCTGCAGGTTTTAAAAAACAAGATAAAGATGAGGTTTTTTGGGCGATAAAAATGCAATTACATTCTGAATAAATTTTTCGTATCGTATTAAAAAAAAAATAAAAACTGATTTTTTTTATTTAAAAAATATCAATGTAGCTGCAAGGAAAATTAAAATCGATTTTGAGAATCTATTTTGGACTGTTTATTAAAAATTTAATTCAATTCAGTTAAAGCGTTACTATGAACGATGAAAAGCTAAATGGGAAAATAATGAATTCCACTTGTTTTTGTTAAAATATTACGGATTATTCTTACATTATATATGATGATAAAAATGCTGCAATAATCCAATATTTGAACCGGTACAATTTAATCGGAATAAACTTTTTCATTTAAAACAAATGTAAATTTACATTATCGATATTATTTCAACTCATTCTAAATTAACCTCTCCATAGCTAAGTGGGATTGGGCCTTACTACAATTTTATTTTCATATTTCTTCACAAATTTTTTTTTTTAATATATGACCCTTTAAGCATGTATAACAATATTTTTCAAGACCTCTATAAAATTCATTATTCATAATGAAATAAGAAGTACAAAAAATACATAACAAAACAAAAATATTTTCCCCCATTTTAAAATAACATTATGCGGATCATTTTTAGAATGGAGAAGCATTCAGAAAAATATTTCTTAAAGATTTAAATATTCGAATAACTACTTTAAAAAAATTCTGTTGCGAATGAAATGTTTCTTGCTTATAAAACTTGAAACGGTAGAGGACTTTTCGATTTGGAACATAAAAAAAAAAAAACTCCGTTTATAAATCGTTCCCATTTATTCATTCACTCATTCAAAGATTGTAATTTTGACTTGAACCAGCGAACGATCAATTTCCTATTCAGTATCCCCCAGATGTAGGATTTGTTATGGGATATTGGAAAACATTGTAACCCAGCAGATTTACAATGCACCAGTCACTACACGAGGAGCATTCGTCAGACGAGGATTGAACTCATGACCTCTTGGACATGGGCCATACTCCCTACAAAACACGCTATCCCGGCATATGCTTAATTGAATAGAATAGGTTTATTAAAAAAACTTGTTAAGTAGTATTTAAAAAACCGGGTAAGAACATAACAATGAGTAAATTTTCTTTTTCTCTAATGCCCACCCGATTGACAGTCGTCATTCAGGTATCAGTAGGGCAAATTTGTCGGCCACTCTTTCAGGTGCAGCATATTAGGTGGGCCATAGCTGTTCCCACAGTATGGACAGATAATACAAAGAACATCCGTGCCTAGTCCGGGATTCGATCTCAGAACCTTTCTGATGTGAGGTCAGTTCCCTGACCACTACATAATCCGGCTGTCGGTTCAATGAGTAAATATTTTAAATATATTAGTTTTATTTTTCTTATTCAATTATTTAGACGTCATTGAGAAACGTTCTTGTGAAGAGCTTCTGGGTGTTTGAATATCCAAAGCAGGATACATTTGACAAACTAATAAGAATTGCTATTATTTACATTTAGGTTTTAATTTTATTTTTGCGTTTGTAAAGAATTTGTACTCATAAAAATGTACAGCATAATAATAATAATAAAACTGCAAAAATTTAAGAATAAGACAAAACTAAGCACATTTTAACATTATTTTTAAATTTTATTTATTTTATTTAACATTAAAAGTAGTTTGATACGGAAAGAAATAATACACACAACTTATGTTAATGGAAGAGAAAATAGGAACATGTTAAGTAATATTTATATTCATAATTAGATAATTTATTTACTAATTAATTTTAATACATTTAAACATCAATTTATTTAAACATTAATTTATATAAACATTAAAAACAGTATGATACGTTAAAGAAATCATATCACTTATGTTAATCGAAGAGAAAATAAGAAGAACATGTTAAGTAATATTTATTTTTATTAATTCAATAATATATTTATCAATTAATTTTGAAATACAACTTGATATATTTTTCCAAGCTCTCCGATTGAAAAAAAATTGGAGCTCTTCCTGCATCATACTTTTTTATGTTAGTTACTCGTAATTTCATGTTAGTTAATTTTATGTTAATTCATCTTCATGTTAATTTAATTCAATTATTGTGTAGCACTTTAATTTTGCTTGGTAAATGAGTTTTTATGAGTGCAACGTGAAGTTGAAACAAAATAAAAGACTTATAGTTTTGGTGTTTTGCTCGTTCTTTTCTCCATTTTTCTGTTACTGTTGTTCTATAATTGTTCTTCTTTATAGGAAATATTCTTTTTTTTTTGAAGATTTAGTTTAATTTTAGTGGAATATTTATTTAGTTATTTGTTTGTATGTATATTTTTATAAGTGCTGATTTATGTCAGAGTGAATGTAAAGCAAAATAAAGGAAAAAATAACAGCTACACTAAAGTGACCAGATTTATAAACTATGATTTGAGGACAACCATATATTTATGGAAAATTTAGAATTTATGTGTATAACGAAGGTTTCTTTTATTAAAAAAATTAATCCCTAATATCAGATGCAGTGTCATCTCTAAACTTGAGTTCATTACTAAGCTGTTTTAATATATCTTATGATATTTTGCATTTGTTTAGTACTTGTAAAATCAAGACGCTGATCATTATCAGTTTATTTTTTACTGATATTATTTTCAGACAACCACGGATAAAAATTTCCGTCGCAAATTCTCTTTATCATTCATTGCTAATTTAAAATTTAAAAGTAAGAAAAAGCAAGTTCAGGCATACCTAGAATAAATCATGAAGTTTCAGTTGCTGGAAAAAAAAATACTTCGAAATATTAAAATGTAAATAAATCATTAGAAGAGAACGCGTATTTTGCGTATTTTATAGAAGGGATTGCGTATTTCATAATTTTCTTTTCGGTATTTGAAACTTCGTGGCTTATTCTAGGTTTGTCTGAACTCACTTTTTCTACACTTTAAATTTTAAACTGGTAATGAAAGTAAACTTGGGAGGAAAATTTTCTTCCGGGTTATGGCGTCCTCTTAAGTAAGTCCTAGAATGGTACTCTTTTTTGCTTTTTGATAGTTTTCTCCGCAAGACAAATTATCTTGTTTAATACAACATGCACATTTATGACAAATGAGACGAAGAAAATTAGTAAAAATTGAAAAAATATGACAATCAAGGCTGACGTCATAAAAATGCAAAACTTTTTCTATCGAGAAAGCTAAGACAAATGTCAAAAATGCTTTCTCTGTACCCCAAAAGTTTTGCCCCGGTCTAGAATAAGAATACAAAAATAAATAGTGAAATATGTAATAAAATGCAGTTTAAATTACAGAAGCATAAAACAGTAGAATAAAGAAAATATAGACAAATATAGAAGGAAAGTAAGAAAGAAAACTTACTTGTCAAATACGAAATGAAATAAAATACGAATCTTGTCAAAAATCTTGTTCAAAAATCTTGACAAATGTCAAAAATCTTATTTTATTCCAATGAATGTATAAGCTTTCGTATTTTATTTCATTTCGTATTTGACAAGTAAGTTTTCTTTCTTACTTTCTTCAGCCTTGATTGTCATATTTTTTCAATTTTTACTAATTTTTCTTCGTCTTATTTGTTTTATTCATCTTGGTTTCTCTGCTGCTTAGCGCATTTTTTCCATTTGGATGTTATTTTTATTAGTATTTTATTTTTATTAGTATGAATTCTTTTCTTAATGCACATTTCTGATTTTTTATTTTATATATTTCACTGCATATAAATAACAATAAGATGTTTCTGAATATTTAAGAATATATATTAAGATTTGAGGACATTTTCTGTCCTCAAAGGGTTTGAAAAGTTTTGTGGACAACTATTGAAATTTGTGGACTTTCCTCAAGATTTGAGGATGTCTGATCACCTTAAGCAACACTTACGTTTTCACTCATTTTTTTTCTTTTCTTTTTTTGATGCGCTCGTTCCTTTTTCTATTCTTCTACAACTATTTAATAGTTTTTTTTACACGGGTAATAATCATTTTTTTGTAGATTCAGTTTAATTTTAGTTAAATATTTATTTACTTATTTATTTTTAAGTATATTTTTATAAGTGTAAGTTTATGTCAGCATGAACACGAAGCAAAATATTTATTTTTTTTAACCAATATTTTTGTTACTCTTCATTCTAATCGTTCTATTCTTTTATTACCTATTCTATTTTGTTGTTTATATCTTCTGCATCTGCAACTTAATTTTTTTATGTACAAACCTTAATAGCATCTTATTT